TGGAGCTCTGCTTGCTGGAGACACTTGTGCCTGCCCCAGGAGAACGGCACTTCCAGAGACATCTCTTTACTGATTTGTGACATTGGTTTTCCAGAAGAACAGCATGTTCCAATATATTTTTGTGAAAATCCACCCATGTGGTATTTTTTGAATTCTTGCTCTGATGCAAAGTGTGACTACAGTTCCTCTTCAGAAAGATTAGTGGAAACAGGTTTTCCAGCCCTGTTTTCAGAAACTGTCCTGTCTCACAGCCCACCCCTTGTTCCTCCAGGGTCACTCATTCACTGAGGACAGTGATGTCACCAGTCAGTGCCTGCATCAGCCCTGAGCTACCCCTGCAGTGGCACTGCCAGCTGTGGGGACATGGGTGCTGATGCACGATGTGTGAGGTCCTGCCCTGAGCCAGTGGCTGGGGCAGAGGGCAGGAGCCCAGGGTGGTGCTGTGGGGAGAGACTGCTCATCCCAGACAGGGCTGGAGATGGTGACTTGCTGGAGACAGCCTCATTCAGGAGCCTTCAGTCAAACAGGTTTATGTTTAAGAGCTGTTGAGCTGAAAAGCTCCAAGTTAAGGAAATACTAAGTTTTGAAGCTTAACAGCTTGTGATTTTTTTTTTAATTTTTTTTTTTTTAGGGAAAAGTGAAACCAAAGAAGACTATAAATCCAAGGAGCCAAGCCCTAGGATTTAATGCAGTGCAAAGGCTGAAAAGTGGAATTTCTCACTGGTTTGTGTAGGGTTGTCTGCAGAGGTTGGCCTTCAGAAGCATTCTAGCAGCTGCCACGTGCTTTCAGAGGGAAGCTGCAGTGCTCCTGGGCACTGGGATCAAGGAAAGCCCATGTATGTCCACCCTGTGACACACCCTAGAACAGAGTGGCCAGCCTGGGGGACACAGGGTGGGGACAGGCTCTGGCTGAGGAGCCCTGGGCACTGGAGAGGGGCTGGATACCCAGGAGAGCAGGGTATTGAACCGACCCACTGTCTGCCCTTAGCTTGAGGCATCCATCATTGTTCAGGATTTCCTTTGCCTCACTGCCCTGCTGCTAAAGCACTGGGATTTGTTTATGACTATGCTGGAGCTTTTAGAGGAATTGGAGGTTTCAGTCCCCAAATCCCATTGAAATCCAAGGGGTGTTCCAGTGGAGCAAAACCTTTCTGAACTCTGAAAGCCTGCCTGCTGAATAATGCTTGCTTCTCTCGGGTTTCTTTTCTCTTATAAAGTAATGATACACATCAGAATAAGGGCTTGTAGCATGCTGGGCTCCCTCTGCAAGGGGCCACGAGACATCCCTGTGGTCAAGAGCTGGAGGGATGCTGCGGTTCCCTCTGTTGCCAAGATCTCCAGGCTGTGATGGCTGAATCCAAGTCCTGACTGTTCTTCACCATGTTCTTCTGCAATACTGTGCCTGAATGTGGTGGAGCTGAGGCTGAAGTTCTGTCCTCCTGGAAAGTTCAGGGTTGTTTTGAAATGGCTCTTCTGTCAAATGGCAGTAACTGTAGAGCATCCCTTCCTTCCCTGTCTGTCCAGACTATATGGCAGAAGCATTCCTTTCCTTAGGATGAAGTTGTCTTTATGTGTGTAAACTGGATAAAGACAGAACATGCACCCCAGCCAGTCTGAAAGTTGTCTTTCCTTTTACCAAGGCTTTGAAATTCAGAAAGCCTCTTCTTTTGGATTTTCTGTAAGGAATAGTTTGCATAGAGGAACAACCCAAGGCTGGAGATGCAGATGACATGAGCAAACCACACAGGGATTTGCTCACCGGCAGCAGGGCTGGGATGTAGAGATGAACTTGGTCTTTGTAAAGCATCAGCCCAGGTTTTTCATTTTAATTTAAATCTCAATGTGCCAGATGCAGCAGGGCCAGATGCTGGCCATTCCTGCTGGCTTCTCTTTCACATTCCAAAGGGGTGTCCGGGGTGGGAAGGCTTCCCACTGAAGCATGCTCTTAAGTCCATGGCCCCATTGAATGGGCTCCATGCTCTATGAAATGCCCACTGCTCGTGGGACATGGACCAGTGGAGCAGGGCGAGGGAAGCTCATTTCACCAGGGGCACCTTCACTGCCCTGCAAGGGAAAGGTCAGGCTGCTCAGACTTTGATTTGAGCTGCTGAAGGGCAGTCACTAATCCAATAAGCCACCGGGGACACAGCCTTAATTCAGGCATTTGCAAGGGTGAGTGGAAGGCAGTAACCCCAGGAGCTCCCAGGGCGTCCTGCACGCTCCTACCTGGCCCTGTCTGGCTTTATGAAGTGTTGAGAACATCAGGCTCTCAGGAACGTGCTGCACCAGCCTTCACACCCTGAGCGTGCTGGAAGAAAAATAAATAGCCCCAAAGGTTTTCCAGCGGGCATCAGCTGCTCTGGCTGGATTTGTGCTGGGAATCTGATCACACAGGAGCCTTCAGCAGTGGAGCAACAGGTCTGGGTGTGGAGCTTTTAATATCAGATATATATATATATATATGCACTCTCACATGTTTTTATAACAGCATGCAGCTAAATGATATTTCTATTTTTTCAGAGACACATATGAGCTGCCTCTATTCTGTGCCCATCTGTGTTGTGCAAGACAGATAGTCTGAGATTCACCCAATATTGGTGTTGTTCTCCAGGTAACTATTTGGATATTAAAGATTGAGGGGTTTTGCCAGACTACTGAGGCACAAAGGAAAGATCGAATTTAAATAAAGAACTCATGTGATTACAAATTAAACAATTGAAAGAAGAAAATCCCCATGTGCCCTCTTTAAAACAACCCCTGGTATTGCCCTGTCAGCTCTTGCTGTTTGAGGTGTCCAGTTCCTCCTGGCCTGTGTGGATCCAGGTCCTTTGGGTCATGGCTGTGGGGGCAGATGTGCTGCCAGCACGTGGCTCCTCAGCATGGTCTGGGCCAGCGTCATCTGGGATGAGTTTTTCCATGTGTGGCTCACAGCTCTGCTGTAGCTGTTGTCATTTTACCTGCTGTTGGGGCAATTAAAATGATAAATGTTAGCAGCAGCTTCACAAATACCTTTTCTAGCTGTTCCTCATCCATCCAGGTGCAGCGGCCCTGGGCCAGCTCGGGTGTTGGGCAGAGCCATCGGTCACTGTCTGAGGAGCCTTTTCTTGGAGGCAGGTGATGGGGCTGCCATGGTGAAAAGCCTGAGGAGCAGTCAAAGCTCACGTCCACAGGTGACTGCGAGGATTTTGGAGGAGTCACTGCCTCTGGCTTTGCAGAACTCCTGTGTGCATTGGGCAGCAGATACTGGGCTTAGCTGGTGCATGTGCAAATGTTGGGCATGACCCTGTGCTGTGAGTCCCTTTCCTGTGGGACTGAGCAGCACCCACTAGCATACAATGGCACAGGCTGGGCTTCTGCCACCCAAACTGCTTCCAAGAAATGAGGTATCAGTGATGATTACAGATATATGGAATATTTTCAAATCTAAGCTGAATACTGTGATCTTGTGAGTCCCCAGATTCTCTATTGTTCCAGTGTAGGCATCCTGGTGAGCTCAACTCATAGGACTCAGGATGGTGGCTCTGATGTTCTTGGCCGTGTGTGAAAACAGGTTTCAGCTGTGGCAAGGTGCCGTGGGACTGCCTGGACAGGGATGCATGGGGCCTCTGAGGCTGGGGACATCGGCAATTGACAGCAGCTTGGAGTTTTGGGTTTTTTTAAAGCTTGCGGATCCATAAGACCAGAAGTGTGAAGTCTGTTAGATACATCACAGATGTGTTAGTGCTAGAGGTTTTATAGTCCTTATACTAAGGACTTTCTTTGATCACTGTTTTAAAACTTAATGTTTTCTGTGCCTCTTGGGCCTGAAACTATGGGCCAAAAAACCCTGTGACTTGATACCTGAAGGCTCCCCAGTGATGAACTCCAGGGATTAAAGATGCTCCTTGGTTTGTGGCTGACAGTGCCGGGGGAGCGAGCACCTCGGTCCCTGCAGAGGTGGGAGCAGCTGGGCCCGACACGCTGCGCTGGTGCACGCTGTTACTCGAATGGAGAATTTGGAAAGCTCGAGAGTTCTGAGCTATGGTTATGTTCTCACTTAATAAGGTGTTAACTGACGTTGGGTGCTCTTTGGAGAGTTCGGCTACGTGTGGAGGTTAACGGTTCCTGGCATTTTGTCTGCTATAAACGAGCTTTCAGACAAGAGGAAAGAGTTACCACGCGCTATCAGCGTGTGAAATTTTTTTCTTAACCTAAAGCAAACCCCCAAACAAACCAAAAGCCCCCAAAGCCGGGGCGGAGGAAGCCTCGGGGCTGTCTCCGGGCTGCGGGGCGGCGGAGCGGCCGCTGGAGGGCAGGCGAGCCGTGCGGAGCGGGGAGCGGCGCGGGTGCCCGGTGCTCTGACCCCACCGGGAGCGGTGCCGGCCCACGGACCGGGCCGCGGCTGTCCCGGCCCGGGAGGAACCACTCCGGGGCTGCCGGGGCCGCTGCCCCCGCCCGGGGCTCGGCGGGCACGGGACGCGCTCCCGCCCCTCGGAGCGAAGGGCGCACGGAGCCCGGGCACCGCGGCCACACGCGCCGGGGCGAGGGGCAGCCGGCCCGGGGGCTCCGAGGCCCTCGCATCCCTCCGTCGGGCCGGGGAGGGCTCGGGGGAGCCCGAGCCCGTCCCTCACTCGTAAGAAGCGCTCGGGCCGGGCGGTGCCCGCTCCGCGCAGGCGGTGCCAGCGCCGGGCCCGCCCGGGCGGGTCCCGCCCCGCTCCGCTCCGCTCCGCTCCGCGCTATGCCGCCCGCCCGGAGCGCGGAGCGGAGCCCCGAGCGGGGCGCGGCGGCGGCCGAGAGGCTCCATCCGCCCGGCGGGGCTGGCCCGGCCCGGGGGGACGCGGGGGGGCACTTGCTGATGATCGGAAGTTACTGACAATAAGCACCTTCATCCCCCCAAAGGCGGAGAGAGGGAGAGGAGGAGGAGGAGGAGAGACAGGGGGAGAGGAGAGCTGATGCCTGACGAGTCACTCGGCGGAGGCAGAGCGGGCGGTACCACAAGTTCCCGGCGGCGCGGAGCGGCGCGGAGCAGCGCGGATCGGAGCTCGCCGGCCGGATCGCTCCCATGTCAGCGCGGCGGCGGGGGACTGCGCTCCGCTAGCGACCAGCCGCCGGCCAGCCGCTCCTCGCCCAGCGATGTATTCACTGCTCTCAGCCTGCACTTGCCTGTAAGGATTATGGCATATTTCTAAATAGGGTTTTTTGTTTTGTTTTTTAATTTGTAAAAATATTTTTAATTGTTTTAAACTTTTATTCTGGAGGCTCCGGTTGCATTTTCCTTGCACCTAGGTGGTAATGGGGATCTGAGCCTTTCTATAAGCAGAGCATCGCTCTGAGCCCTTTAAAAAATTGCAAAAAAAAACAAAGGAAAAAAAAAGAAAAAATCCCCAACTTTAATAATTCTACGGCATCATTTGATCTTTTGTTGCTCTTTTTTTTTTTTCTCCTCTCCAGATGTTTACATTTCCTGCTGCTGTGCTTTCAGGTACAGGTACGTGCCCTTTCTGTCCTCTCTTTCGCTTTTGGTTGTAAAATAGAAACAAAGGCGGCGTGCTGACCTCGAGTGCCAGGCAGCTTTGGCTGGGGCTTTCACTTGTTTCCCTTTAGTTTTTATCGCTATATTAAAGCGAGCCCCGCACCAGATGCTGGAGTGTCATTTGCCCTGGACCGGGGCTTCCCCTGCGCTCAGCTCCCGTTCTGTGCCGCTGTGCTCGGCCGCCGCTGCGGGCAGGGGTGCAGCCGGTGCGCCGGTAGCCTGCCCTAGCGGGATCCTCTGGAGTGCATTAGCCTGGCTAATGATGTGAGAGGGAGTGCTGGACTCTCCTTGCAGTGTGTTGATTGATGCACTTGCCTTGGAAGAGCAGGCACTCTCCTGCTCGCCCTTTTTTCCCTTTCTTCCCGCCCCCCCCACCCCCGCCTCTTTTTCTATTTTTTTTTTCCTCTTCCCCTCTTCGGGAACTCACTCCCAAAAACTGATGCTTTGAAAAACACAGGTTTTCCTAGCCAAGAGAAGGAGGCTGCGTGCTCCCTTCCCATTATTCAGTAGAACGCCGTCCAAGTCCGCTCCAGCCTTTGATCCTGCCTCGGCAGGAATGAGCAACACCCTGAGCGGGGCTCTGCAGCCCCGGTGCCCGCAGGGTGGGGATGGCAGCTGTCCCCGTGGCCACGGGGACCACAGGGCTTTCAGCTGGGCAGCTGGAGCAGACCCACCTGCGGGGCCGGGCAGAGCAGGTGCCGCTTCTCCGCTGGCTCCAGCCACCCTCCCGCCGGGGCCCGGGGACACTTGTGCCACCCTTGGCCCTGAATTGTGCTTTGGCCGGGATTGCACCTGCTCACCCTCTCCGGATCCCCAACGGAGCACGGGATGGTCCTGGACGAGCGCAGCCTTGGAGAGGGCTCCAGCCCTCTGCCCAAGCTGAAACCCGAACCAGCCCCATCTCCTGCTCTCCCACCCATCCAAAAAATCCCCATCACATTTTTCTCCTCATCCCCTCCAAAAACTGCAGCTCGAACCCGACACCAGCAGAGCCTCCCCTGGTGGAGCAGCCTCCCCAGCAGGAGAGGATCCGCAGCTGTAAATTACCCTGCGGCTGGAAGGTGTTTGCTCTGCTTCTCGGAGCGTTTTTTTCAGCCCGAGGAATCACAGGCTGCGCAGCGCTCGCAGCGCCGGAACCCTTTGCTGCGGGGAGAGGGTTTTTTGCGCTTGTGCGGTAACTGAAGTTAATCAGCCCTCCAGCCCCCTTCCTCTCCCCCTCCCTTCGGTGCTTTTAGTGAATCAGAAAAAGTTTGGCTGGCTGCCTGGAAAGCACTTGCTAAAATCTGATCTCTTACTTCAGCAGCCTTAAAACAAAGTTATTGGCATTTATACAGTTGGAGCTTGCAGGCTTCCAAAGCAATAAAATAATAAAAAAAAAAGAAAAAGAAAAAAAGAAGAAAGCTCTGTGTTCTGGTGCTATTAAAACCATACTTGCTCCCTTTCGTGCTGATTTTGCAGCATTTTGGGGGCTGTGAGGTGGGATGGCCGCGCTGGGCTCTGTGGAGGTGTCCTGGCTGCGGCTGGAGGGGCAGCGGAGCTCGCTGGGTGTCACACACAGAGCGGAGCTCCTTTGGCGATTGCTGTGGGGAGCCAAAACATTAGATTAGTCATACTCGAGGGCCTTCGAGTGAGTGTTTACAGTATTAATGGTAGATGAAAAGATGTGAATGCTGTAAGTTTTTATTGCCCATTTTGTTGCACTTTTTTTCTGGATTTATTCATGGGATTACATGTTTTGAGCCTGAATGGGAGTGAGGGATTATAGGATTTCTTTAATAATGATCAGTTTGGGTAGAAGTTAGCCTTTGGTGAACTGGAGTAAATTAATGCATCACTTAGGTTTAATATTTATTTAGTCTAAAGGAAGTTGTTTAGTTTTGCTTAAAGGGCTCTGTGTTGTATTGGGGAGATTTAAGAGCTCCTGAAGTGGATTATATTCTAAGGCTGCCTTTTGCTCTGCGTTCAAGCCGTGATCTGCAGCTTGTCCCATGTGCTGGTCTTAGAATTACTCTGCTCTGCTGCTGCCCGGTGCCCGTGGCTCTGCGTGCAGAGGGAGCAATCCCTCCAGCGAGTGTGGGGCTGGGGGGATTCTGGGACACAGCAGCCTGGTTTGGGTGTGCTCTGTGTGTCCTGGTGGCCCCTCGTGTGCGAGGGCTGTGGTGTAATGATGTGTGAGCTGCTGCAGTTCTCTGCTGGGGGCTCAGCTCTGGCCAAAAGCTTTTTCACAGACCCCAAGGCCACCCTGCAGCCGCCAGTGGGTGATGGGGCAGGTGTAGCATCTGCTGTGGGCAGGTTGTGGCAGCACAGGGAGGTGTTCCCCAGTCCTGGCCACAGACAGGTTGGAGGGTCATGAGTTTCCAGGAGCAGGATTCAGACCCCTGGATGAGTCAGACTGCTCCAGGGCTTTGCCATCGTGTGACATTTCCACCAAGGAGCACAGGGACTAACACATGCTGTACAGAGGGGAGCACTGCTGGAGTGTGGGTGCAGCACAGCCCTGGGAGCAGCCCTGGACCTCACAGGGCTGCCTGGAGGACAGGTCATTCACCAGTCCCTTCCCCTGCGACAACAATGCCTCTGTCCTGTTTTCTTGTCTTGCCTCTTAGGAAGCCGCTGGGGTTGCTGCAGTTCCAAAGCAGGGACACTGGATACCCTCACACACCCTGGAGACATTAATTTATTTATGCAGGTTGTTCTTAGGGATGCCCTTTCGCTGATGGTTACTGAGCTCTCCCTCTATCACATGCCTTTAGCATTCTTCAGTTTATTCCCCTACCTTTTCACTCTTCCAGGAACAATTTCTCTTCCGTGTGCTTTTTCTTTCTGTATGGCCCAGAGTGCTTTTGGGTTTGGCTTTGGAGTCAATCTCTGCTCTTCAAGCAGGTGAGAAACCCCAGAAGCACCTTGCAGGCTTGGAGGGGATTGTGCTGTGCTGTGCTGGCTCTGGCAGCACCAGTGATCCTGAGGATAACAAGTCTGGGGACATGGGACCTCAGATGGTCTCCTCTGCCAGAGCAGGTGGAGGCTGGAGGCAGCTTCAGTGTAAGTTCAGCAGTAGGATCTGAGGTTCTGAGCCCTGCCCTGGTTTGCAAGAGCTTCCAGCTCTTCTGTCCCTGAGCCACCTCAAGTGCCTGGGCAGGCAGAGCACAGGAGATACCAGCATGGGCTGCCCTGGCTGTGCTGCAGAGCAGAGGGTGGTCCTGCCTCAGCCTCTTCCCTGCCTGATAAACCTCGCCGTGTTCTCCTACATGGACTGCATCTGTCTTAGATTATGGAGAGGTCCCTGATAGGGCCAAATCCTTTGCTTTTATGGCTCTTGTAGGTTAAGATCCAGCTTTGGAATCTGATCCAGAAGCAAACAGGAGGTCAGAGGAACGCACGAGGCAGCACTGGGCTATTTTCACATCTGCTGGTGTTGTGTAAGAGGAAGGCTGCTGTGCGCCATGCCAACAGCAACTTATGTTTCTCCTAAGCTCCTGTGCAGCAACAGACAGTTATTGTTTGGGGCTTTGTAAAGCGAGACACGGAGAAGTGTTGCTTCCACACGTTCAGTGAGCCAGATCCTGCGGTCTGGCGAAGCCACACGCAGCACATGTCAGAGGCGTGAGCCTGCTGAGCAGCTCCCTCCCCTCTGCTCCATAGCCATCCTCCCTGGGACAAGCAGGACGGGTGTGAGTGCCACCAAATGGCTCTGGGGATTCACTGTGGAGAAGCAGAAGGAGGTCCCGGTCACAGCCCACCCAGCTCGCCTTGCCTGGCCCCTCTTTCTGCGGGTGTGCAGCAGCTGTAGAGCCACAGCTCCCTGCCTGCCCTGCCCTCGCCCTCCCGGTGACAGCAGCAAAGGCAGGGTGCTGGACTCTATGTCACCAACAAGGTTATCCTCATGTCTGCCCTCCATGCAGATGGGCACCCAGCTGCCTTTGCCTCCTCGGGGGGCATAATGTGTGTCTCAAGGCAGCACCAAGGCGGTGCGTGCTGCCAGGGATGGAGCTTTGAGCATCCCCACAATTGCTCCTGGAGCGCTGTGGGATGGGGCAGGGCTGCTTCCTCCTCGTGGTCAAACCCTGCATGCCAAGACCTGGTGGGGTCCAGAGCCCCCAGGCTGGGTGATCCTGTGCCTGCCCCCTCTGCTCAGCCTGGATTGGAATACCACGTCCTTAGCGCAGCATTCCTGCACCAGCGCCTGCCCCCTGCTCCACGAGGGGTGAGAAGCCACGCTGAGAAGGACAGAACATGGCAAATGTGGTCTGTGGAAGGCTGGGCAGCTCTCTGTTGATTTTTCAGACTGCACCTGCCTTGGTTACAGGGACTAGGCAGTGAGAAGACCAGAGAAACTGCATCAGCAAAGCCTGAGCTAATGAACAGAGGAGTTCAGCAAAGTGGAAGTGCAGGCATTATGGGCTGGAGTTGATGGGATGGTCCCTGGCTCTGGCTCCATGCTGTGCTGGACTCATGGTGGTGGATGCAGCTCCTGGTGGTATGGCTCTGCTGGCCTGCAGCCTGCAGGGGCAGGGTCCTGCTGCACATGAAATCGTTTGTTCCAGTTTCAAATGCCCTTGCTCTCCAGGAAACAAGCATGTGGCTTGCCATGAGGGATTTTTATTCCCTACTGCTGACTCATTGCACCAGACTATGAAGTGTTGTGTCCTGAATCTGCCCTGTGTATCCTGCTTCTGCCTCCTGAACTTTGGGGAGCTCGGGCTTGTGGAGGAAGAGGAGACTCGCTGGAGCAGCTGCCTGGGCTGGAGCAGGGGAGCCGAGTGAGGGTGGGCTGGTGCTTGGGCTGATGTGTGCTGGGGCTCTCCCGTGGGACAGGGAGGCTCGGCTTAGCTGGGTGAGTGTAGGTGTGGCTCTTGCTCCTACACGGATGGGGATGTGCTGCTGTGCCCCACTCGGGGCTGCCTGCCCTGGCCACTCTCTGCCTTGGCTTCTCACTGGAGGTCCCCAGCCCTTCG